ATCGAAATTGCTCACAGCCTCGATACCAGTTCCTGTGTCATGTGCATCAACAATTTTATGGCTCGAAGAGGAATTCCAAGAGAAATATACACCGACAACGGAACGAATTTTAAGTCAGCATCCAAAGTGTTTAGTGCCGAAGTCGATCACACAGCAACCTCGAAAGCATTTGATGGCATCAAGTGGAAATTTAACCCACCAGCAGCGCCCCACATGGGTGGAGCCTGGGAGAGGCTCGTACGTTCGGTCAAAACCGCTCTATACAACATTTGTCCTCACATGAATTTCAATGACGAGACCTTAAGAGGCGCCTTAGCTGAAGTCGAGTTCATGATAAATTCCAGACCACTAACTTTCGTATCACTCGAATCATGCGATGATGAGGCTCTCACACCAAATCACCTATTACTAGGATCATCGACTGGCCTCAAGCCCGTCAACTACAAAGAAATTGACTTACGACAGCGATGGAACTGTACTATACAGTTTGCGGATAAATTTTGGCATCGCTGGGTCAAAGAATATACACCAACGATCACCAGACGAGGAAAATGGTATGAAAAAGCAACTCCACTAGAAGTAGGGGACATCGTTATTATAGTTGATGAGAATCTACCACGACACTGCTGGCCAAAAGGCAGAATAATCGACATCCTCATGGCGAAGGACGGTCAAGTGCGACAGGTTACAGTTCAAACACAAAGTGGTATCTTCCAAAGACCAACAGCAAAGATAGCTAAACTAGACGTCGACAAAAATAAGCGGTAAACTCGTCCCGTTGGCTCCTTTACGAGGGGGAGAATGTTGTCGCCGATATCCTCATGATATTTAATAATCACTTAGATTTTTTTTTTAAATTTATGATATGGGTATACTTCCCACTAAATTCTTAAATTTACCAATTGTCACATACTGATTTACATATATTTGTAAATAGATTATTCTTGCTTTACACATATTCGTATGCACACACGTGCATATGTACATACGAAATAAGTACTAAACAAGTTGTTTATAAATTATAACGGACTACGTTTATGTATCACGTAGGCATCTGCGGTCATTAGAAAATAATTGTAAAACATCAGGGCAGTCAGTAAAAGGCCGGTGTCAAACAAAATTATTTTAAAGCGCTCGCTCGCTCGCTCGCTTGCTCTTTCGTAGAGAAATAAATTAAAATATTTACGCACAAGGAGTGCTCTTAGAAATTTTGTGTTTTATTTTAACGCCGGCTCATTTTACGGGCAACACAGACCATTTTTCGCAAAATAATATATTTTGCCCTCCAGTATCAAGGAATGACAAATTACAGCCAATGCAATGATAAAATGCCGCTAAAACCTTAAATATAATGACATACCGCCCTTTGCCCTTATATGTAAGCTATGTTAAAACATGAACCTATATTGATCAGTGCGGAGGTACCGTAATATGGTAGCTTCACCAAAACGTAACCCTGCATTAATAACTTTTTGGTACGAAGATTGAAACCCCACGTGAGCCTGAAACCTCAAATTAGTGTAATTTCGGTTTAAAAAACGTGATGAAGCCCCCAAAATACCGGAAAATTGGGTGCACCATGATATGGAGACTTCCCGGAAATTTGAACCAATATTGAAAATTTTCTATAGCGAAAAGGAATACAAAAAATATATATTTCATATGGAAATCGAGAATACGTATCATTTGTTGTACTATTGTTCTGAATTCCATCTCTATTCCTACATCTAATGTCAAGTTTATTACCATTTAGTACTCTTCATACACATAAGCACTATTTTCCGAAATCTCTTTCTTATTTCCATTACACAGATTAAAAATAGATCAGAATTCCAATTATACATTTTAGCAAATACGTACAGGTTCCACATTTACATTTTCAAAACTACCTACCACCACTAAATTTAGTACCAGTTAGTGACAAAAACCCTTTGGTACTTCTTTCTAACTTTCCGTCAGTTACCCACATTCTAAATTTTAGGTTTCCAGCTCTCCCCGTTACCCAAGTCCAAATTTAGTGCATTTTCTATTTTATTTACTATTTGTACACATAAATTCGAGTCTCCAAAGTTTTATCCATAGCTCAGTACTACACTTCAACAGTAATCTAAATTCTCAGGATTCAACCAAATCCAAATTATTCCAAAGTTAGTACAGTAGATATCGGATATAAGCACATCTCATATAAGAAAGATTATCAAAAACACCGAGCCTTTTTACATCTCATTAGTGTAAAAATTGCTTCATATAAGAAAAACGCATATAAGAAAGAAATCGCCGACTTTTTTAAATTTCTTATATCCGATATATACTGTACTTTTCATACTCATAAGTAAGAATTTTTAAAAATACATCAATCCTACACTCTAACAGTTATCTTAATTCCACCAAAGTCCAAATTGTACCAAAGTTAGTACTTTTCGTACAAATTTCCAAATATACCTCAATCCTGCTTTCAAATAGTAATCGTAAGTCCAAATTTAAGAATTCTAGCTCTGTCTGTTCATTAAAAACCAAATTATACCAGATTTGGTACCATTCTGTACATTTCCTACACTCACACAGTAACCTAAGTTGCAACTTTCAGGATTCGACTTCTACCCGTTCACCAAAGTCCAAATTGTACTAAATTTTGTGCTGTTCGTACCCATAAGTACGAATTTCCAAAACTACTCCAATAATAAATAACCTTATATCCACATTTAAAGATTCCAGCTCTATCCATTCACCAACAACCACATTTTAGTACTTTTCGTACCCTTCTAGTTCGAATTTCCAAAAACTCAGCCTTATCTCATGCCTACACATCAACAACAACCCACAGCAGATAAGGTTGAAAAACCTGTCCAAAAGCCTCAAAATATCAAATTAGAGCCAATTCTTTTGAAAAACGTGCTCAAAAACTACCAAATATTGGGAGGTACCGTTATATTGGGGCTACCCTATAAAGTGATCCAATATTGATATTCTTTTGTAAGAAAATTTTCTACACAGTAAAATCCAAAATACTAAATTACAGCTGGTTTGGTTGAGAAACGTGCCCAAATGCTGAAAAATACTGAATCGGAATCATACAAAAAGTCTTTTTAAAATATATATTGAGTATTTCATTTGTTTATTTATTTAGATAATTTGCCTTTATTTAGTTAGTATGTCTTTATGAACAGTTATTTATTTATTAAACTAATTAATTGTTTAACAAATGTATCATTAATTGTAAATATCAATATCTACATAACAACCCGAACTTTTTGTCCAACTACTTACCGTAAATCGTTAATATAGCAGCATAAACGAAAGTACATTTTTGAAATTATTATTATTTTTATTGTTTCTGGATTTATTTAATCCGAAAATATTTATTATATATATATATATAATAAACATGCAAAATACATTAAATAAACCGAATTATATTCCATAAGCATACGTTAATAGTTAAGATGCACCTGCAAATGATCACTGACATATCATGAACAGGGCTGCCATTTTTGGTTGCTTTCTCTCTCTCTTTTATTTTATCAGTACGGCATTCGGTTTAGTTCTCTCGCTCACTTCAGTCAATTCGGTCGTTAAATTTGGTGTTCCAATAAAATATTGCAAATAATTAACAAAAGAGATATGGAAATAAGTTAAAAATAATATAAATTACAAAAATATTGTTCAATTAATATAATTTTATATAAATATGTGCGTAATTTCATGTAAATGTGTTGATATTTGTGTTCTCGGGTTTGCAAGGGGAAAAAGGTGCAATCCAAAATGTTGTTATGTTCATGGTATAGCCGTGTAAGTGTGTGTGTGCTCTTTTTTGCCTCCTCTGGCAAAACTTTCATTGCAAACAGACAAATACAAATAGAGTTCAACATTTCCTATTAGTTTCCGTTCTCAATTAAAAAAAGTTTTGTTTCTGTATTCCGAAAAAGCTTTATTTGAAAATAATTCTGAATATGCTGTTCAAAAAAAGCTTTATGTTGTTCTAGCTACGACAAAAGCTCTATGTTAACATTGAATCGTTTTAATTAATTGAAAAAATAATTTTGAATGTAATAAGCTAAAATTTTGTTTCTAAGAGAAACGTTACTTTCTATTTTTATCTTTCATTAGAATTGTGTTTGTTGTTAGTGTTTATAGATGCTATACACGTAGCCATTGGGCTTTTGTATACACTTAGCCAAGGCGCCTGCAACTGCCCGGCTAGCTCAGTCGGTAGAGCATGAGACTCTTAATCTCAGGGTCGTGGGTTCGAGCCCCACGTTGGGCGCATATAATTTTTTGTTTTATTATTTTTTTTTTTATTTATTAAAGCAATAATTTTTTTATTTTCCTATATTGGAAAACAAATTATATTTAATTAATATTAATTTTACGTTTTAATTATTAAAAAAAAAACAATTTATTTTTTCAATAATTGAAATATTCGAATTCAAACTGTGTTTAAAAAAAATAGACAATTTTATTTATTTTTTATTTAATTTTTACAATATTACATTTTATTTTAATATTATTATACTTTTTGTATTTTCGAAATTAATTATACTGGATTTTTATTATTTTCGAATTTTTCTAGTTTTGAATTTTTAGTTTTTTTTTTTAATTTCAATATTTTTGGAATTATTTTCGATAATGCACTTTATTCAACATTGTTAAATATTTTGCATAAAATTAAATTCGAATTAATTTTTTTTTAAATTTCGAAAAATTAAATTTATTAAAAATATTTAAATTTTGAATTTTTTTCGAATACCTTGTGCTTCCATTAAAACATTGCTAAGAATTGCGGCTCATTAAATTTTAACCAAACTGTGTTGTGATTTTGAAACTTAATTTTTTTCTTCAATTTCCAAGCCTTGTTCAATATGTTGTCTAACTAATATTTGAAATTATCCTGGCACCAATATTCTAACACTGTAGAAAGCTATATTGTTTATTATAAAAAAATCAAAATTTTGTTTATTTCAAATTCCAATATTAATACAAATTTATTTTAATTATCGTAGAGTACGTGCTTATGGTCCTGGTATTGAACCCATTGGTCCAGTTGTTGGTGCTCCAGCTAATTTCACTGTGGAAACTTTCTCAGCTGGCAAAGGTAGGCGGGAAATATTTTTTTAACATTCTTTAAAAAATATTCAATTAATTTCGATTTTTTTTTCAGGCCAAGTTGATGTTGAAATTATTTCCCCCGATGGTTTGGTCGAAAAGGCCGATGTCCGTTTCAACAATGACAAGAATTTGACCTATTCCATTTCGTATATCCCCAAAATGGAGGGTGAACACAAGGTCATTGTGAAATTCTCCGGCCGTGATATTCCCAAGTCTCCCTTCCCCGTTAAGGTTGAGGGTCATGCCGGCGATGCTTCCAAGGTAAAGGTTACCGGTCCTGGTATACAACCCAGTGGTGTGGTGATTAGCAAACCCACATTCTTTGACATCTTGACACACGATGCTGGTCGTGGTGTACCTGAGGTTATTATCATTGACCCGGCCAATCATAAGACCTCGGTGGCTGCCAAGGTTCGACAATTGGAAAATGATGTGTGGCGTTGTGAATATGTTTCGGCCCTGCAGGGTTTGCATTCCGTCAATGTGTTCTATGCGGGGACACCCATACCTAATAGCCCCTTCCCCGTGAAAATTGCCCCCTTGTCCGATGCTAAGAGGGTGAGAGCTTCTGGTAGAGGTCTACAACCCAATGGTGTGCGCGTTGGCGATGATGCTGACTTTAAGATTTACACTGAGGGTGCTGGCGAAGGTTTGCCTGAGGTGAGAATTGTTGGCCCCGGCGGCATGAACGAAAATGTGGCCATGACCAAATTGGATGCCCACACCTATGAGTGTCATTATTTCCCCAACAAAGAGGGTAGATATGTTGCGGTGGTAACATTTGCCGGCCAGGAGATTAATAAGTCCCCATTCGAGGTTAAGGTCGGCCCCAAGAAGGATTCCAATATTGTAGCCTTTGGCCCTGGTTTGGTCGGCGGTGTTGTCGGCTACCCGGCTGCCTTTGTGGTGGAGACCAATGGTGAAACTGGTGCTTTAGGATTTACAGTAGCTGGTCCTTCTCAGGCTGAAATTGAATGTCACGATAATGGTGATGGTTCCGCTTTGGTCAAATATCATCCCACAGCTCCGGGTGAATATGCTGTGCACATTCTATGCGATAATGAGGATATACCCAAGTCGCCATTTATTACACAAATTCTGCCAAAGACCGATTACCACCCTGAGAAGGTTAAGGCCTGGGGTCCGGGTTTGGAAAAGAATGGTGTGTCTATAAATGAGCCCACCAGTTTTACTGTGGATGCCACCCAGGGTGGCCCTGCACCCTTGGATGTTATTGTGGAGGATATCTATGGCAAGAGATTGCCGGTGGATGTCAAGAACCAGCCAGATGGTACGAAATTGTGTACATACACCCCCGTGTCTGGTACACCACATACTGTGGAGGGTAAGTTCGGACACAATAGAGAATCTAAATTTCCGATTTTAATATTTTTCGGTTTTCTCTCCCAGTTAACTTTGGTGGTGTGGCCTCTGCCAATTCGCCACACCGTGTCTATGTGGGCCTACCCGTTGATGCCAATAAGGTGCAGGCCTTCGGCCCTTGGTTCCAACCAGGTGTCCATCCCAATGCTCCCACACATTTCAATGTCGATTGCCGTGATGCTGGCGAAGCGGAGTTGAAGGTGAAAATTGTCCATGAAGAGACGAAGGTGGAAATACCCTGCCGCATAATCGATAATGAAGATCAAACATATTCCGTTGAGGTTATACCACCCACTAAGGGGGCCTATACCACTACCATGACATATGGTGGCCAACCCGTGCCTTTGGGACAAAAAGTAATGGTTGAACAACAAATCGATGTATCGAAAATTAAGGTTGATGGCTTAGAACCAAGTAAGTATAGACCCTCATACACACCTAACCTCAAAAATGTATCACACATACATAAACTCACAAAAAATCATTCATACAAACATAACCTCAACAAATTTTGTAAGGGAACTTTTGCTCGGAAAGTTCTCGATGTCTAGCTCTAAAGTATAGAAAACAAATTAAGTCCATCATTTCCTATATTTATCGAATTAAAACGAAAAAGCTGCCCCGTTAAATAGTCTCCAGCAGTTTCGTATTATTACCCATGGCCTACCCAAGGCCGATTTGGCTGTGACCATAACCAGCCCTTCGGGTAGTCGTGTCAAGGCCCATGTCATCCCTACCGCTGAAGGATTCCTGGTGAATTTCACCCCTACGCAGCTGGGTGAATATCTTCTAAGTATTTGTTTTGGCGGAACACCCATCACCCCTCGACCATTCCGATTACAATGTTTAAGTGGCAGCGATTCGAATAAGGTACGAGCCTTTGGCCCCGGCCTGGAGAAGGGTCTGGTGGGACAACCAGCTGAATTTATGATCGATACGCGAGGAGCCGGCCAAGGTGGATTGGGTGTCACTGTCGAAGGACCCTGTGAGGCAGCCATTAATTGTCGTGACAACGGGGATGGAACCTGTAATGTGGCCTATCTGCCCACCGAAGCCGGAGACTATACAGTTAACATAACATTCAATGATCGCCACATAAATGGATCACCATTCCAACCGATTATCTATCCGCTGCCGAATCTCAGCAATACCCGAGTTAGTGGTATAGGAATACAGCCACATGGTAGGCTATTAAGAAATGGCGATGCATCGCCTAACCACCCACCCTTTCGTTGTTGATTTTTTGTTCTGTTACACTGCAAGCCGGATTCCATTATCCAATCGGAAACCGATCTGAAGCCATAATGCCAAGCCAAGCAAATACTACCCGGACCAAAGACCATAACTCAAGCAACTGTGCTCAAGCATGTTAGCAAAGCCTAGGTTAAACAAATGGCAAATCCGGTCACCCTCAATTGTTGTTGTTTTTTTTTTTGTGCGCTGCGAACCGGATTCCATTATCCAATCGGAAACCGATCTGAATATAAAATATTAAGCCAAGCAAATACTACCAGATCCAAAGAAAATAACTCAAGCTCCTGATCTGAAGCATGTAACCAAGGCCTATTTTAATTTATGTTTCGAAAAACCCCAGGCAAATTCGCGCTCAGCCAGCCAGGCAGCTCTGCTATTAACCCAGCCAAAGCTTATTTTTTGTTGTTGTTGTATAATTTCAAGACCCAAAAACCATATTGCATGCCCTCGTTCAGTTACATTCTAAAATCCATAATCTTTTTGTTGTTGTTATTATTTTTAACCCATTCAAACCTAACCTCAATTTTTATTACGATTCTAACCTCAAATTATTTTATTCTCTTCTCTCTCCTCCCCCACCCTCCAGGTGTCATCATGAACGAGAAAACCGATTTTATGGTCGATATGAGTAAAGTTGGTGCCAACATCGAATCAAAGAAATTGTCCTGCTCCGTTTTCGATCCCAAGGGTCAGATGTTGCCAAGTGAAATTTTGCCCGGACCCACCAATGATGTCTTCCGTATAATGTACACCCCATTCGAAGCGGGTCGCCATACCATTGAATTACTGTACGATAACATTCCTGTACCCGGTTCACCATTTGTGGTCAATGTTAAGAGCGGTTGTGACCCTAGTCGCTGCAAGGCCTATGGCCCTGGTCTCAAGAGAGGTTTTGTCAATGAGAAAAATAAATTTGTCATAGAAACCAAGGGTGCCGGCAAAGGAGGTCTCTCACTGGCCATTGAAGGTCCCTCTGAGGCTAAGCTAACCTGCATCGATAATCGTGATGGTAGCTGTGATGTCGATTATTTGGCAACCGAAGTGGGTGAATATGATATTTCAATCCGTTTCGCTGATAAGCACATACCCGGCTCACCCTTCACTGTATATGTGGAGGAAAGATCCGATCCCTCGAAAGTTAAGGTATATGGTCCTGGCATTGAACATGGTGAGGTACGTGAGGGTGTGCCCACACACTTCTTTATTGATGTACAAGATGCCGGCCCCGGACGTATTGCTGTGAAGATACAAAATTCCGAAGGTAAACCCATTGAAGATTTGAGAGTCGAGGAAAAGGGTGATGGTATCTATTGTGTCCATTACTCACCACCTAAGGAGGGTTCGGTGTTGACCTGTACCATTACCTTTGCCGATACTGAAGTGCCATGCAGGTAAGTCAAAAATGAAATATTCGAAACAATATTTTCTAAATCAATTTTTTTATTTCGCTTTTCCTTTCAGCCCCTTCGTTATGACCGTCTTCCCCAAGTCCGAACCCCACAAGGTCAAAATCAAGGGCGTTAATGATAAGCGTAAGACACCTGCTTCCCGTCCTGCTGAATTTGAAGTTGACACCAAGAAAGCCGGCCAAGCTGACATTGATGTTGATATTAAAAATCCCAAGGGTAAAGCGGTTAAGCCCCGCCTCCAAGAAATCAATGAAGGTACCTATGTGGTGTCGTTTGTCCCAGATGAATGTGGCACCTATATGGTTAGCATTAAATATGGTGGCCAAGAAATCGAAGGATCACCCTTCAAATTGGAAGCCTTCCAAACTGGTGAAGCTAAAAAATGTAAATTGGTCGAAGAGGCCCCCAAGATTCAACCTTCCGGCAGTAAGAGTCATTTGACGGTGGATGCTCGTGAAGCGGGAGATGGTGCTGTTACATGTAAAATTGCCTCCAAGACAGGAAAGTAAGTACAATTCGTAAATGGAGACGTAACGAAATCGAGTGAAAGGGAACTTCGCACGGAATTTTTGACGAATACCAGGGCAGATTACAAATTCCGGGACCTTTCGAAAAAATACTTATTTGTATTAAAAAAGGAAAGGGGGTAAAGGTTTTCTTTGATTCTTTCCCCATAGTATTTTACAATCTGGCGGTACCATCGAATTTGTGAGGCTTTAAAAGTTTAAAATCTCCCTTTCCAAACCAAGTGTCAATGATTTGGTATTTCAGACTTTCAGATGATAAGAAACCCACTTGGAATATTTTCTATACAAATCCTCGTTGTTCGTATTAACCCAAAAAAAGGTCCCTGAAATTTTAGGTATGTTAATTTCCATCCTACGGTACTGGGATTTCATATTTACGTTTCCTAGAGGATAAATTACGTCCTGACAACAATTCAATTCAATATAGATCCATGTTTTGTCATAGGCCCCATATATAGGTCCAGTGGATTTCAGGTTCTTTGAAAGTCTTAAATGCATTTTCCCACCGAAGTGGGTGTCGTCATTTGTTTTTTCGGTTTATCGTATAGGTATAATTTTCACATAGTCCCCATATAAAGGTTAAGCATGAGGTTGGGGACTTTAAGGGTCTTATTTTTTTTCAACGAAGTCGATTTTTTCATGTTCTCAGAGGATAAAATGCCTCCCCATAGACATTTTTCCATACAAGACCTATTATGAAATAGTCCATTATTTAAGGCTCAGGTTCCTTTTTTAGTAATTTGAAGGCCCCAGCCTCAATTTCCATCCAATGGGGCTGTAATTTGGTATTTACGTTTCTCAGAGGAAAAATGACCTCTTGGCGAAAAATGATTAATATATGACCATGTTTTGACATGGATCGCCTATATTAGGTCCAGTCGATTTCAGGTTCTATGAAGGATCTAGGTCCGGATTTAAGATATTTTGAAGGACCTAGATGGATTTTTCAATCGATGCTGTTGTAATTTGTCATTCCGTTTTCTCTAAGGATAAAATACCTCTTGGCGGAATATTTTGTAATCTAGGACCGAAATATTTTAATGGTCCTAGTCGGATTTTCGAAGCGATGTTGTCGTAATTTTTCCATACAAGTTCTCGGAGGATAAAATGCCTATTTGCAGAACATTTTCAATATCCGTTCTGTTCATTGACATAGAAACCTAGATCCGGAATTTATACAGTTTGTAGGTCATAGGCGGATTTTCAATCGGATTTTCTAACCTATGCTGTTGTAATTTTAATATTAAAAAAATTGGATGGTCCTAGTCGGATTCTCGAAGCGATGCTGTCGTAATATCCGTCGTCAATATCCGTTCCATTGATTGACATAGAACCCCAGATCCGGATTTTTTATAGTTTGAAGGTCATAGGCGTATTTTCGAACCAATTCTGTTGTAATTTGTCATTACGGGTCTTCTGAGAATAAAATATAGGTGCGTAATTTGACATAGGACCTAGGTCCGGATTTAGAATATTTGAAGGTCCTAGGCGAATTTTTCAACCGGCTTTTCGAACCGATGCTGCTGTAATTTGTCATTACGGCTCTTATAGGTGCGTAAGGGCCTAGATCCGGATTTAAAATATTTTGAAGGTCATAGGCGGATTTTCGAACCGTTGCTGTTGTTATTTGTCATTAGGGGTACTTTGACAATAAATACCTCTTTGTAGAACATTTTTTATAGATGCCTAATTTCACATAGGACCTAGATCCGGATATTATATAGTTTGAAGGTCATCGATGGATTTTTAACCGGATTTTCGAATCGATGCTGTCATAATTTCACACTCTTTGTAGAACATTTTCAATATAGCCGATAAAGATGATGATAAAATACCTCTTGGCAGAATATTTTGAATGTATATTCGTGTCTTGACATTGTCCCCCATATAATGGTACTGCCCCATTTTCGGCATTTGGAACTTCGAAGCTACATTTACGAACTGTAATTTTATATTAGGGTTTATTCGAGGTAAAATGCCTTCTAGTAGAACATTATTTATCTTTTGAGTTCCAATATAAGCCACATTTTACATATTTTGTAGGACCCAGTCTAGACCACCATCGTTTTGATTATTTTGAAGGACCTGATGAATTTTTTAAACAATGTAGATATTTGAAGGTTCGAACGCTAACGAAGTGGCTGTAACTATCCTAATAGGCATTTAGAAAGCTGCAGTTGCAGTTTCCAAGCGAAGGGACTGGAAATTAGAATTTGGAGTTCTCAGATGATGAAAGAAAACTGTCAATGTAGACCAAAATTTTGATACGGTAGCGCAGATGTTAGACATTTTGAGGGTCGTAACTGCAATTTAGAATTTCGATGTCGCGAAAGATGATAGTCAATGGTAGTAAATTGTCAATATAGATCCGTGGCAGGTTATACTTGATGTCAGTAGTGTTGTATTTCACATAACTATCGTCTGTACTAGAAATAAGTCTTGTCACTCGATTTCGTCGGTTTCAGTATAATTTTTATTTAATATTTGTTATTAATTTGTATTATTTATTATTTTTAATTTGTCTGTTTGTTTCCTAGGGAAATCGTGGACATTGATGTCATTGAAAAGGATGGCTTCTTTGATATCTTCTATGCCTTGAATGATCCTGGAGATTATGATATCAATGTGAAATTTGGTGGTAAAGATATACCAAATGGTAGCTTCTCCATTAAGGTAGTTGCCCAATTGAAATAATTTTATTTAAAAAAAAAAACAACAACAAAAACAAATATTCTTACTCCACAACAATTTTGTAAAGCCAAGCCAAAGTTGAAGCTAAAATTCTAGTCCTAAAAATATAATTTGAATATTTTTATTTGGGAAGTAGATGCAAAAAAATTTCAAATAAAGGAAAGAGAAAAAAGAGTATTTAAATAAAATTTGGTACTCTCTCTTGCTCTCTTCTTTGAATTATTTTGCAACCGCCTCCCAAAAAATTAAAAAAAAGTATATAGAAGGTCCTTAAAAATAATTAAGAATTAAATTAGCAATTATTGAACAAATATTGAAACTATTTTTTATTAATAGTTGTATTATCAACAACAAAAAACCAAATGTAATTTTTAATAATACATTATTTCAATACCAAAGAAGGAAAAAACACAATTTCACAAACAGTTTAAATTTAATTAAAAATATATATTTATATATATTAAAATTTTTGTTCAAATTAGTTATAGTGTTTTAAACATATTTTTCGTTCATTTTGTTTTTTAAATAAAAAATAAAACAGACAACAAAAAACAACCACTAAAAATGTATGCAATTAGAAAAATATAATAATAAAAAACAACAAAAATACCAAATTAACTTTTTACATAAAAATCAAAACATAAACCTTTTTACCAAAAAAAATCATAAAAATCCCACAACAAAAATATTTTTACAGAAAAACAACAATAAAAACTTCACCGTAAGACTTTTTTTTCCAAATATATGCATGCCCTTACTTGTTTTTTACACACAACAAAAATACCACAAAATTGCTTCATTTTCGCCCTTTTTTACAAATAATGCTTATATATTTTTATATATAATAATTGTTATATTTTTTACAGAAATATTTTTTTATATGAAAATTTTGTATTTTAATATGAAAACATTTTTAATTTAATTTATATATTTAAGCTGTTTGTGTTCTTTGTGTCCTTAACATATAACTTTTTGTAATTGATTTTTTTATACACATTGAATTTGTTTTTTTACACACACACTGCCTAATCAATAATTGCTAATTTAGTTTATAACAATAAAAAACCTTCTTTAGTAGAGTTGAAAAAAGCTTTGGCCCAAAAAAAATATTATTTGTCAAAACAAAGTCCGTTCTTAACGTTTATTATTTTGCACTCTGCGCTTAACTGAAATACCACCCCCAAAACAACGCCAAAAAGTATGCAGCAGCAAAAATAATGCAGCCGTAGCAGCAGCAGCAAAAATATTAATTTCAAATGCCTCGCTCTAATATTTAATTTTAATTCTTATAAAGTTAATAACATACCTCAATATGTAACCGGATAAACAGGTAAGTTCGAAACTTAGTTTTAAATTCCCTGAAGGAATTGCAACCCCATTAAGCTTCGGTTTGGCAAATTTAATCATGTCAAAGTACATATAAATTTCTTATCTACATTAAGTATAAACCTATTGCCCATAAAATCATCGAAAAAATTATATTCTTAAAAAATCTCCAAAAATCTCCTATATCTGAATCTTTACAAAACCGCTATTTGAATCCCGAACAAACGAAATATTCTTATAATATCCACGATATCTAATGTAACGAACAATTATATTACACAAATAACTCCAATGTCTAAATCCTTAAAAGCCATATTCTTAAGAAATGGATGAAAACGCCTGAAAAAATAGTCTTTAAAAAGTCCTGATATATCTAAATCCTTAATTTTTATACCCTTCACCGCACTGTGTTATAGGGTATTATGTGTTTGTGCATATGTTTGTAACAGGACAAAGGAAACGAGATAGACACATGGTTCCTTTTGAGAATATGCATAGAATCACTTTTTAAGTCGATTTATGCATGTCCGACCGTCCGTCTGTCCGTCCATGTTAAATTGTAAACAAAGTACAGGTCGCATTTTTGATTCGAATTGGTTCGAATTTGATTGAAATTGGAAAAAATCGGTTCAAATTTATATATAGCTCGTATATATATTTTCGTCCGATTTAAGGTAAATGATGCACCAAAGTACCTATATATCTTTCGATTTGCACGAAATTTGGTATAAGGTACTAAATTAAGTCTACAATGATGTGTGTAAAGTTTCGTAAAAATCAGTTCAGATTTAGATATAGCTCCCATATATAGTTTCGTCCGATTTTATGCAAATGGTGCACCAAAGTCTTTCGATTTGCCCGAAATTTGGCATAGCGTACTAAATTAAGTCTAGAGTGATGTCTGTTAAGTTTCGTAAAAATCGGTTCAAATTTACATATAGCTCTCATATATAACTTCGTTCGATTTTATGTAAATGGTGCACCAAAGTCCCTATATATCTTTCGATTTGCACGAAATTTGGCATAGCGTAATGAATTAAGTCTAGAAAGACGTGTGTCATGTTTCGTGAAAATCGGTTACGATTTAGATATAGCTCACATATATATTTTGGTCCGATTTTAAGTAAATAGTTCACCAAAATCCTCTTATATCATTCGATTTGCGCGAAATTTGTCATAGCGCGCTGAATTGAGTTTAGAATGATGAGTGGTAAGTTTTGGAAAAATCCGTTCAGATTTAGATATTGCTCCCATATATATTTTCGTCCGATTTAATGTAAATGGGGTACCAAAGTCCCTATATATCTCTCGATTTACACGAAATTTGGCACAGAGCACTGAATTAGGTCCAGAATGATGTGTGCTAAGTTTCGTAAAAATCGGTTCCGATTTAGATGTAGCTCCCATATGGGTGCCAGATTGATATTACATTTTAAACAGTGAAGCATACCAAATAGCGTGTGTAAAGTTTGCTTTAAATCTGTTTACAAAATTTAGAATAGGTTGCAGAATGGCATGTGTTGGGATTGATGTTAGTTGGTTCACTTATAGATAAAGATCACATATTTAAGTTCGGTTAATTTCATGTCAATGTACCTTGGAAAATGCGACGTCTGTTAGGATACATATGTAGGATATACCCAAAGTGGTGAAGGGTATTATATAGTCGGCCCAGTCCGACTACTTTCCTTACTGGTTTAATAATATTTTTTATTGTTCACTTCTAGGTATGGATTTTTAAAACTATTTATTAGTGACCATTTATAGGCGAGGAGTTCTTAAAAAAATTTTTAATGACAATTTCTAGGCGTGGATTTGTTCTAAATAATTTTTTTAGCCGATCCAAAGGTGTAGATTTTTATATCCCATTTAGCCCACTGTTCCCCGACTACTTTCAATATTTCGTTATTTAATATATTTGTTTAATATATTTTTACAAAATAAATCTATTGTTGCATTCACATCATCGCCATGCCAGCCCTATAAAAATGTCAACAACATAGTGGCAAATGTTACAAATTTGTATATTAACAATTTTTAGTTTTTTTTATTCTCTTCTTAATATATTTATGCCTTAAATCACTTATGGTACACCGTTCATATATAAAATTTAAAAAAAAAAAAAATTGTGACACATATATAGTAATTCTAGCTATAACAATATCATATTAATTTCATAAATTTGGACCCAAGCCAACAGCAGCAGCATTTCTATTGTTTTGCTGAGAATGTTGTGTGATATTTCCACAAATCGTGTGAATATTTGTTGATTTTTTTTTTTTTTTAGAATTGTTGTCTCTAATTTGTAGCATTTTGTGACAGTGAAAGAAAACAATAACAAAAATAGTAATACCGTGAATGCTAATTACCCGTGTCGTCTATGAAATTTAAAAATATTTTAAAATTTGATTGACAGACAGACGGGCGGACATATGAGAATATAAATCTTTTGTCACCAAAAAAAAAAAACTGACATTGACATTGAAATAGAAAGTGGCAAAAATGTATTTTTTAATTTATATTATCATTATAGAAATAACAAGTTAAACACCCTACACTATGTATTATAGACTTATTTTGAGCATAGCCGCCCCCATATCCAGCTCATTTTTGGACAGCTGTCAAATTTATACACTCGACTTTTGAAAATTGGGATTAACTATCAGTCCAGGGATTTTTATTTATTTATTTACATTTTTCAAAACATGTATAAAACCTGTGAACGGAGCAGTATAGTCGGACGGGGCCGACCATACGATACCCTACACAACTACCACAGAACTCGGATGTTTATTTCGATTCCCTTCACGATGGGTTGTGTTGTGATGTTCGCCTATATTTGACTAGAAAACACACAAAAAATTAAGTTTTCGGTCCACTTCATCCCAAAATTTTAATCAGATCATCATCGAAAATTATAGGCCTTTAACCATATTTGGAACTTCATGGAAAAATTTAAAGGAATCAGCGCCATATTTCCGCCCTCTAATGAGGTAATGGGTTACTAAATAATATCTGAATACGTAAACACCTGTAACTATTTGTGTGTAACTCCCACATCCGAGTACATACGACAATGTAATTGCAGTCATTTTGAAGGTCAACCATTCCTCTTGGATACACTATCAACTTCGCGGATCTATATGCTTCACGAGTAAATATAGACGCCATAGGATACGACGTTTGTCATTTTCACACAAAAGTCAGGGTCCATTTGACCCGCTAAATAATGGCCGAAAACATGCATGCATATTCTCTGTCCCAATCCTCTTCTCCATATAAAATTTCGCGATGTTCGGGTCATATTTGCGGCCTCTAGAGCGACCAGAAAAACCGACAAAAATTAAATATTTGGTCCATATCATCCCCTAAATATTAACCGATCTTTACCAAAAACAATGGCCAAACCCCTTCCTACATGCAAAATTTCGTGAAGATTAGTCCATAACTGTGGTCTGTATCGTGTTTATAAATTATAATGGACAGACCGACGGACACACATGTCTAGATCGGCTCAGCTAGTCGAGATAAGACGATCGGTATAATGGTGGGTCTAGGACCAATATTTCGCGGCGTTACAAACTCTTGGGGATGCAAGTTCCTAAAAAGTTCCTATTATTGAAATTGAAACATTGAATACTGAAAATATTTGGAAA